CAAACATGTCTCTATTTTACTTTCTACATCTAAATTTAGTGAAGCCTGCTGCTACATTAACTTTTCTCCAATTTCACTAATGAAATTACAGCTTTTCTTCTATAGTGTTTAGCTGTCTCGTCGATTATAATTACCAGTTACGCAATTCCCAAAATCATATATTTTATACAGCTAGAGAAGAAGCAGAATTTGAGATATACTCCACTTTGTCTATTTTGTTCAAGCCAAACTAAAGGGACAAGGGTGACCAAATAAGCAAAAAAATAAATAGACGGGACACACAGGGGGGTGGGTTTAAGAGGATTAGTGAAGGAAAAAATAGAATGAGAAACATACTGAAGCATTTGGGTAAACTTTTAAAGACATGAGAAGGAAGAAACTACACAAACATGATATCCAAATGTGTTAAAGTAAAGTTGTAGTTTCAGAATAAACTGAATGTGCAGTAGTAATCAAGTAAAACAGATTGCTGAGCGTAAGTCTTGTGTATTAGTAGTACTCATGTCCTTTACTCTGACTTTGCACAACTGAAAGTCAAATCTAAGTCAGAGTCAAGAGGAATAAACAGTTTTGGACAGCCCTAAAGCTGCTAATATTTTTTGCCACGCTGTTTCTTCTTGAAAGAACAGCTTTAAAGAAGGATTGAAGGAGAAACAATCTGTCTCAGCAGATTATTTTCGAAACCCAACAAATGCAAAAAATAGCCTAGGCTTCGAAAATTGCCAAACATAAGTTAATCTTAAAGGCTGTCTAAATCCGCCACATTTTTCTGATACCAATAACGATTGGAAACTGGAGCAAGCMAGAAGAGCAATAAGTAAACAGCTCAGTCGTTCCACCGATACCCCCTTACATGTGGGGCCAAATATGTCCAAGTTTAAAGAGGAGATCCCAGAGGAGCTCTATGGGTCCATCCTCTCCCAGAGTGATTTGTCTGCAAAGAGACGAAACAATTTCATTACCCAGCAATGTAGCTCAGGTCCCATGAGCGTGAGTGTGCAGGGATTACACACCAAAACAAGCTGCCCAGGAAAAAGGAAATAGACATCAGTTGGCGTGTCTGTGTGGAAATAAGTGGCCTGCACATCAATTTAACCAGTCAATTCACACCACCTTAAACTCATCCTCTGAAGTCAAGGGTGACCAATCTGTGTGAAGAGTTTTGAGTTGGCAGTGTTTGAGAAAAAACAGTTTAATTTAATCATTATATAAAAGAGTAACCCTAACTATCCAGCTTTGCCCAATGGACTTTACATAAAATATATTCAATTCCCAGATTGAAATACCACTGATAGATAATATGTGCTTAAATAGCCTTGCATTTGGTGCCGTTAGAAAATGTATGCCTTGCAAGCTTTAAACATATAAAATGTCATGCTTCCAAAATAAAAATAAAAAATGATGTATTTATTTATTTATTTATTTTTATTTCAGGAGTGGCTAAGTAGAATCCCAGAGTGCCATCAGAGTTTCACCAATCTACACCAGATCAAACATTTTAATTTTATGACTTGTCAACTTTTTTTATTGCAATTCTTCTAAATCAAGGTTTGTTTTTGTTTCAAACAAACAAAAAAATCATAATAAAAATAAATAACTAATCTGCATGTGCAGGTGGGTATTCCTCACAATGTAGGGACCAAAAGACCAACTGCTACTTATGGGACAAACCCATGAGGGGAAATGCCATTGGTGGGTTAGGGGTTAGGTTTAGGACTAAGTTTAGGTTAAGTTTAAGATTAGGTGTGTACCAATGAGCTTAGGTTTAGGGTAAAGTTTCAGGGTTAGGCTACTGAAATGATTGGAAGTTAAAGTAAAGTTCCCGGAAAGATAGTAGTACTAGAATGTGCGTGTGTCTGTGTGTGCGTGTTTGAGGTGGGATGAGGGGGGGCACCTTGCTGCAGACAGTCTGACAGGTCACCAAGTAAATGGTTCAATATATGGCCCCCTGCACTGATGTTTTGTTCGCCGTGAGGCTAAATAACTGGGTGGTTGCAGCCCACACTGCTCAGCTATAAATTGTTTAGGTGACAGGAAGTTGAAACGGCAATAGATAGAAAATGGCACAAAAGGGCATGAAGCACAAAGTAGAGAATGTTGTATTTCACAAAAAATAAAATAAAATAAAAATGGTTGGATGTCTGTTCACCTATTGATTTATAACATTTTGTTTTCAATTTTTGTCTTTGTGTTACTTTTTATATCTCTATGTGAACATTCCTTATTTATAGTACCTAAAGATGTCACTGAGTGTGCTCAGCCTGAAAAGTGCTTGAGTGTACACCAATGCATTCACGTTTTGATCAGATAGAAGTCCTTCTAACCATTTTGTGGGACAATAACATCTTATGTATTTCAGTTTAAGACACAAACACACTAACGTCCTTTTTTATTTGTTCTCAGCTTTGCCCCTGCAAAATTTGTCATTCCTGCTTATCTTTGTTCTTTCTTTCTCTTTTTTTCATTTTTTTTTTTTTTGGGGGGGGGGGGGGTAACTCAATCTTTGTATGTAACCAAGCTGTCAGAGATAATGTAAGCATCCGACGGCTTTATATAGTGGCGAAATAACGCAAAGAGGAAGCAAAACAAACATCACGGCAGCACTAAAACTTTGCAGATACAACAGGCTGTCTTCCTGCACTGACACTTGACACACTTCATAAATTTAGTTGACATACACATGGATTGGGGCTGGAGCACGACTTACCCACTGTTCCTAATGTGAACCAGTGTAAACACAAAACCAAGCACCGCAACCACAAAACTGCAAGTCAGAGGAGAACCGGAAAGTGAGGATGCATCAGAAAGCAACTTAAAAAAAGGAAAGAAAGAAAGAAAGAAAGAAAGAAAGAAAGAAAGAAAGAAAGAAAGAAAGAAAGAAAGAAAGAAAGAAAGAAAGAAAGAAAGAAAGAA